CTGGGAATTTAGAGGTAGTTTAGAGTTGCTTTTTAAAGCAGATTATTACACAAGCTACAAGGGGAAATAACCTGCTTGACTTGGATCTAGCAAATAAAGAAACAGTTGTTAATAATTAAGAAATTACAGAGGAACTCGGCACAAGTGACCATAAATCAATTGATTGAAAGTGTGATAGTTGGGATAACTCAGTAACAGTCCTAGATTTTCGCTTAGCAGATTACAATGGCTTAGAAAACACTTATCATCAGTTGACTGGGGTAACGAAGAGAGCTATCAATGTGACGGCTTTCTAAATACTACACATGTTGCCCCAAAAGTGTTTACTCTGAATAAAGAAATTAGAAATGACAGAAATGGATGATTAATAGGCGCATCAAAAGAGGTGAGGGTCATCTCATGAATCAGTATATTCACATTAAGAGAGATGTTAATTAAAAAGGGGATAAGAAAAGCAAAACGGGACTGTGAAATAAAAGCTGCTAGGGATTCGAAAACCAGTCCGAAAGTTTTTTTTCCAGGTTTATAGAACAAAAGTTAGAGAAAAGATAGGTCACCTGAAAAATAACTCTGGGCATCTTACTGACATGGAGACTGAAATGTGCTCGATTTTTAATGATTATTTTCTCTCGGTTTTTCACACAAGAAGACACTACTAATATCCAAATAATAAATTTTTACAGTCACTAGCAACATGACTGTCAAACAGATAGACCGACTGAAGCAAAATAAATCCCCAGGCCCCGATGAGCTTTTTTCAAGGGTTCTTATGGAGTGTAAAATAGAACTTTGTGAACCATTAACTATTTTTAATATATCTCTCTTCAAACAGGTGTAGTGTCTGATATGTGGAAGATGGCTAATGTAATTCCTATTTTTAAAACAGGGGACAAGTCGTTACCGTCAAATTACCGCCCAATAAGCCTGACCTCAATTATAGGCAAATTACTAGAGTTAATTATAGCTGTTACTATAAGAAACCATCTTGATAAGCAAAATTTGATTAATGATACTCAACATGGATTTCTGCCTAACTAATTTACTAACTTTCTTCAGTAAAGTTTTTGAGGCTGTTGATCTTGATAAAGAATTCGATATTGTTTATTTGGAATTAAGTAAGGCTCTTGATAGAGACTGTTTAAGAAAGTGGCAGCTCATGCCATTGGGGGAAAAGTGCTGTCATGGATCGAGTCATGGCTCACGAACAGAAGGCAGAGTGTGTGCATAAATGGGGTTAAATCTGATTGGGGGTCTGTAACAAGTGGCGCTCCACAGGGGATCAGTTTTAGGCCATTTGTTGTTTATGTCAATGGCTTTGATGAGGGAATTACTAGTGATATGAGCAAATTCACTGATGACACAAAGATAGGTAGGATAATTGATTCAAACGTAGATGTCACGGAACTTCAGGAGGATTTAGACAGTCAGTTCTTGGTCAGAAAAGTGGCAGATGTAGTTCAATGTAGATAAATGTAAGGTTTTGAAGCTTGGGAGTCTCCACTTACAAGCTAAATGGTGTAGAACTTATCAGTACAGATTGCTAAAATGATCTGTGGGTTATGGTAAGCAACAACCTTAAACCAAGACAGAAATGCCTAAGCGTACGTAATAAGGCAAACAGATTACTGGGATTTATATCAAGAATTGCAAGCAACAGAAGTCCAGCGGTTATACTACATCTTCATACATCATCAGTAAGGCCTCACCTAGATTACGCAGCTCAGTTCTGGTCTCCATATTTTAGAATGGATATAAATTCATTAGAAAACATTCAGTGAAAAATAATAAAATTAATACATAGCAATAGAAATCCTCTGTATGGAGAAAGATTTAAGTCCCTTACATTACATTCACTTGTAAGACGTTTCGGTCGGAATTGGACCATTTATAAAGTCATATTTACAAAAATGAGAGGTGGGAGTATATATAGGCAAGCAGACAGGGACGGAAAGTCGAAGATTGGTATCAATATAGGGGATATGAATAAAGTTTTGAGGATATCCCTCAAAGATAGAACCCGAAATAATGGATTCAAATTAGATAAGTTTAGATTTAGAAAGGATATAGGAAAGTATTGGTTTGGAAATAGAGTAGTTGATGAGTGGAACAGTTTGCCTAGAAGGATGATTGAAGCTGAAACCTTTGGCAGTTTCAAGTTTGGGTTGAATAAATACATGAGCGAGACGGGTTGGATTTGAGTGGGACTTGCATACGAGTAAATAGATTTATCAATGATTGTGACACTTATGCAACATATGGGAATCTTTACTGAGGAAACGTTTCGCCACACAGTGGCTTCATCAGTCCAATACAAAGCAGAAAGGTGTAAGAAGTGGAGTACTTTGAGGTAATCAGTCCCTCAGCCTGGAATCGATGTGTTCAGTCCATCAATCTTGTAGAATGTACAGCATAGGGCCGTATTGGACTGATGAAGCCACTGTGTGACGAAACGTTTCCTCCATAAAGATTCCCATATGTTGCGTAAGTGTCTCAACATTCAACTTGTCGGTTTTCTAAACCATTCATCAGAACTGTCAGACACTGCATCATCATGGGATCTTGATACAATTATCCTAAAACACCTTCCTGACTCTATCATTACTGCTTACACAAACCTCCTCAATGCCTCCCTTGCCTCTGGATACTTCCCTTCCCTCTTCAAAGCTGCTACTGCTATCCTCCTTCCTAAACCCAATAAAGACCACTCTGACCCTAGAAACTATCGCCCTATCAGCCTCCTCGAAACTTTAGGAAAACTCTTTGAAAAACTCATCAACCATCGCCTTCGCAGATACCTGGAACACAACTCTCTACTTTCTGATGGCCAGTTTGGCTTCAGAACTCACAGATACACACAGGATGCCATTAACATCATTCTCAACTACATCCACATAAACACAAAACAAAGAAACGGAACAGCCCTGGTTGCAAAAGACGTTGAAAAAGCTTTTGACACTGGCACGAAGGGCTCAAACACAAACTCTGCACTAACTTTAACCTGCCTCTCACTACTCGTAAACTCCTCTGCAACTTCCTAGACGGCTGCACCATTAGAATCAAATTTCAAGGCTGTTACTAAGACTACTTCACACTAAATGCTGGAGTACCCCAGGGATCTGTCCTCTCCCCTACCCTCTACATTTTATGCACTAGCGACATTCCAACACCTGTATACCACAACTCCATCAATCTAGCCTATGCAGACGACATTACACAACTTATCACTCATGCCAATATAGATACACTCACACAAAACAAAATGAAGTCGACAGGATAGCCTTCTGGGAACAAAAATGGAGGATCAAATCCAATGCAGCTAAATACAGCATTACGTATTTCAGCTATAAGAAACGTGATCCTCCATTACCTGTCGAGCTCAGAACAGCTGACACCCGCACTTACATCCCCATCACACAATCTGTCACTGTCCTTGGCGTTAATCTTGACTACCTTCCTCGCCTACACGGACACATTCACTGAAGGCATGCAATAGCTAGTAAGGCCCTTGCGGGCCTCTACAAGCTGCAACATGCCTCCCAGCGCACCAAATTACGCCTCTAGAAATACGTCCTTTGATAACTTACTCTCCTCTAGCTCTCTCTCTTGCAGCTAAAACAAACTTACTTATACTGCAGCGTGTCCAGAACAAGGTGCTGCACTGGGTGCTTGATGTCAGATGGGAGGACCTCGCCACAAGCGAGTCTCTCCATGCCCAATTAGACATCCCTGCGCTGAATCTGTACTTGAAGACGCTCAGTGACCAACAGATAGACAAACTTGAGACACGACATGACTACTGGACCTCTCTCCTTGACGAAGACATTCGCAGACCCACAAACCAACACAACCTTTTCTACTCTTTGCATGATTCTGCTCCTAACCCTATTTACAAATAACCTTTGGATTCTCTGAAAGGTACCTCTGACCTAAGTTCGCATTAGCTGCTGGGTTAAGCCCTGGCTCAATTTACACTCCTCTCTAGCGCTAATCTTCGCCTGTTCCTTCCTCCCCGCTCACCCCACCGCTCTGTCCCACTATCGCCTTAGCTGCTGGGTTAAGCCCTGGCTCTATTTCTACGTCTAAGAACACTCCTCTCCCGCGCTATTCTTCGTCTGTCCAGTCTTCCCCGCTCATCCCATTGGGATCTTACGTGAACTTGCTCGGTCGTTCGTTCCCCATGCTGTACATTCTACAAGACTGATGGACTGAACACATCGACTCCAGGCTGAGGGACTGATTACCTCATACTACTACTCTCCTTACACCATCCTGCTTTGTATTGGACTGATGAAGCCATTGTGTGGCGAAACTTTTCCGCAATAAAGATTCCCATATGTTGCATAAGTGTCTCAATTTTCAACACATTGGAATCATTATTAATGAAACGTTTCGCCACACAGTGGCTTCATCAGTCCAGTACAAGGCAGAAAGGTTAAGGAGAGGAGGAGTTTGAAGTAGTTGATGGTTCCATTGTGATCCAGCTTCCTCCTGCTTCCACTCACCTGACTACAGTATATAAGCCACTTCTCCAGCCATATGTTGTGCTTTCTACAAGAGTGATGGACTGAACACATCGATTCCAGGCTGAGAGGCTGATTACGTCAAAATCCTCCTCTTCTTACCCTTTCTGCCTTGTATTGGACTGAAGAAGCCACTGTGTAGCGGAACGTTTCCTTAACAATGATTCCCATATCTTGCATAAGTGCCCCAATCTTCAACTTGTGAGTTTTGAAAATCATTTATCGCGATTAAAGTAGAACACCAGAGTGTAGCACCAGTTAGCATTTAACAACGTAGGATGTACAGTATACAATGTATATGACACTGTATACCTAGAAAAGATATGTATACATATACCGGTATGTGTGTGTATATAGTACCAGCATGTATAGTACCACAATATTTGTAGCAACGAACATTAAGGCAAAGTATAAAGAAATTAATCATTTGTCATAAATATTTCTGTTGGGTAATGATCATGAGATTTTTTTTATTCACAGGATGGAAACTCGTTCCAGAAGATGGCTCAGGCTCGCTGTTGCAGTTAAGGTCATCTTTGTTGTGTTTATCGTCTTGACTATTTACGGCATCAGCAACAATAAAAGTCCACTCAAAATATTAAGCATCTACAGTAGAGGTATGTTGTTATGTCTGCTGACAAATATAAGTGATTACCTTCAGTGGTTGAAGTAGCGACTGGAACATATTCAGTGATTGTTCATGTCCATGACATTCTGGAGGTTGTAGTGACCCTTGACCTGGGGCGTATCTACGGAACATAGCTCCTACTACAAGAACTGAAATTGCGCTCCTGTCCAAGTATCTGACAACCACGTTCTGGAAGAAGACACTTATGTACAGGTCAGCTATAGGCAGAATGAGGTAGAGTTATTGGTGAATATTGGAAAGCCAGTGACACTGTCACAAGGACACTAATAGGGAGAGTGGAAGAACAAAAATGAGCAGGAAGGAAAAAGGAAAGGAGGAATTAAAAATTTATATTTACAAATAATCGTAGTGTTAGAAATAAGATGAACGACTTGAGACTTCTTGCAACTGCTGGTAACATTAACGTATTTGCCATAACTGAGACGTGACTTAATAAGAAAAATCAGGAAATGCCTGCTGAATGTCACATTCAACGTTTTAAATTATTACACGTCGACAGAAGCATCGGAAATGGAGGTGGGTGAGACTTTTTGCCCGAAATCATTTGAATTACTGTATAAAAACGGGTATAAAATCTGAAATAACACATCGGGAGTTTGTCAGGGTAGACTCATCAGAGGAGCATGGAAAATTAATTTTAGGCGAGATATACCGTCCCCCAAACCAAGAGAGACTACTGTGGGAGGAAACTGTTAAGGTCAAAAGGCACCATAACATAATAATTCTAGAGGACTTGAACTTTACTCAGAATTCCTTGACTATGATTATTTTTTTTAAAGAAGTTTGTTACAGAACCTACAAGTGGAAATAATCTGCTTGACTTGAGAACATAAGAAGGAACACTGTGCTGGCCTACAGGCCCATGTGAAGAAGCACGGCATCGCGCCTATTAGCACAAGCTAGTCAGGTCCAACTCACACCCACCCACCCACATCCGATCTATTTTTAAAACTACAAAACGTTTTAGCTTCTATGACAGTACTCGGGAGTTTGTTCCACTCATCCACAACTCTATTACCAAACCAGTGCTTTAATATATCCTTCATGAATCTGAATTTTTCAAACTTTAAACCACTGCTGCGAGTCCTGTCTTGGCTAGATGTTTTGAGCACGTTATTTACATTCCCTTTATTTATTCCTGTTCTCCATTTATATACCTCAATCATATCCCTAATTCTACGCCTTTCTAGAGAGTGCAGATTCAGGGCCCTCAGTCTATCCTCATAGACTGATACATGGGATCATCTTTGTCATCCTCCTTTGTACGTTTTCCAGTGCCTTTATATCAATTCTGTAATACGGTGACCAAAACTGAGCAGCATAATCTAAATGAGGCCTAAGCAAGAATATATAGAAATGAAGTACAACCTGAGGACTTCCAAAAATCATACTTCTTGATATGAAACCAAGAATTCTGTTAGCCTTATTGCGGACACTTATGCACTGTTGTCTTGGTTTTAGATTACTTCTAACCAGAACTCCTAAATCCTCTTCGTAATCAGTAATATTAGGATCAACATTATTTAGTTTATATGTGGTATGGTTATTTTCTTGTCCAATATTTAGATCTTTGCATTTGTCTATATTAAGCTGCATCTGTCACTTCTCCGACCACTGCATCAGTCTATTCAAATCTTCCTGGAGTGCCCTAATGTCCTCATCAGAATGAATTAGGTGACCTCTTTTGGTGTCATCAACAAACTTGCTTATGTCGCTCTTTATTCCATCATCAATGTCACTTACATAAATTGTGAACAACAAAAGGCCCCAACACTAACCTCAGTGGAACACCAGTTGAGATGCGCCTCCACTCTGAATTTTCCGCGTTGATGCAAACTCTCTGCTGCCTCTTCTTCTTCTTCTTGAGTAGCCGGTACTTTCCCAGCCTAGGTCTTTTACGGATAGTGACCCGGCCTTGGCTCCCTGTCGTGGGAGTATCTGAGACCTATGTCTCCCATGGGAGGAGGAACAAGCACCTCCTCATCTTTTGGGACCAACTGTCCCCAGGAATAGCCCCATTCCCCGCCCTCATGGGGATCGGAGCGAGAAGCTAGGCCTCTGGTCTGCCATCTCTGCCACAGAGGCTCGTGAAAATGGCAGTCTTGTGAGCTGTAGGTGGTAGCAAGCTCTAGCTCTGGCACCTTCCCGCCCTAGGAGGACTCGTAGGAGTGGTGTCGGCCCCTTCTCTCTGCTACCTATCTGTCAACCACACCTCCACCCAGAAAAAAATTCTCCTATTCCGTGTGCCTTAATTTTCCTCTATAGCCTTTGATGTGATACTATCAGAAGCCTTACTGAAGTCCATATACACAATATAATATTAATTTCCATGATCTAACTCCTCAAATACCTTGGTGAAAAAAGTTAGTAAATTCGTAAGGCAGGAATGTCTTACGAATTTACTTTAAATGGGTATTACATTTGCCATTTTCCACTTGTCTGACACTACGCCAGTTTGTAGCGATATGTTAAAAAGACTAGCCAAACGTTTATTTACATTCCTTTAAAACCATTGCAAACAGTTCAACAGGGCTTGGGGATTTGATTCGGTTTTAATTTCTCTATTTGTTTGAGGACAATGTCACTAGTTACCCTAATCGTGCATAGTTTATTATCGTCCTGTTCTACATAATTTATAATTAGTGTGCACTACCTAGCAGAGTTTACTGTCAGAGGGGAATCATAGGCCTGGGTGCCGTGTGCAAAATAATAATAACAGAACTTTTCTTTGTCAGAGGAAAGAAAGTCTCCCTGATAACATTGTGTATACATAGTGTATAGTGTATACTACAGTGGCTTCCTAGTATATAGATGATAAAGGCTAAAGTGTCATTTGAAAACAGGTGAATTTGTAAATGAAGTGATAAGCCTATAGAGGCAGGTGCCAGAAGTCGACAGAATCTCACCACAGTGGTCAGCTGTTTTAATAATCTTCCTGGCTTGCTAGTGTACTCGCATATAATCTAGTGATACCAGTGAATAGCAGAATACAGTGTTGTAGTAGCAACTAACCAGTATTATAATGGTACTTAGTGGAGTGGAGTGACTTTCATTAGTTTCTTTTTTTTTGAAATACCAGACGTTACTGTGAATTTCATATAACCTGTAGTTACCAGCGGTCGCAGAAAACAATACGAAGTTCAACGATGAGAAATTTCAATTACTCAGATATGGTAAACACGAGGAAATTATATCTTCATCAGAGTACAAAACAAATTCTGGCCACAAAATAGAGCGAAACACCAACGTCAAAGACCTGGGAGTGATCATGTCGGAGGATCTAACCTTAAAGGACCATAACATTGTATCAATCGCATCTGCTAGAAAAATGACAGGATGGATAATGAGAACCTTCAAAACTAGGGAGGCCAAGCCCGTGATGACACTCTTCAGGTCACTTGTTCTATCTAGGCTGGAATATTGCTGCACACTAACAGCACCTTTCAAGGCAGGTGAAATTGCTGACCTAGAAAATGTACAGAGAACCTTCACGGCGCGCATAACGGAGATAAAACACCTCAATTACTGGGAGCGCTTGAGGTTCCTAAACCTGTATTCCCTGGAACGCAGGCGGGAGAGATACATGATTATATACACCTGGAAAATCCTGAAGGGACTAGTACCGAACTTGCACACGAAAATTACTCACTACGAAAGCAAAAGACATGGAAGACGATGCAGCATCCCCCAATGAAAAGCAGGGGTGTCACTAGCACGTTAAGAGACCATACAATAAGTGTCAGGGGCCCGAGACTGTTCAACTGCCTCCCAGCATACATAGGGGGGATTACCAACAGACCCCTGGCAGTCTTCAAGCTGGCACTGGACAAGCACCTAAAGTCGGTTCCTGACCAGCCGGGCTGTGGCTCGTACGTTGGTTTGCGTGCAGCCAGCAGCAACAGCCTGGTTGATCAGGCTCTGATCCACCAGGAGGCCTGGTCACAGACCGGGCCGCGGGGGCGTTGACCCCCGGAACTCTCTCCAGGTAAACTCCAGGTAATATCTTCCTGCGTATAAACTGAGAGGAATGTCGCTAATATCTTCCTGCGTATAAACTGAGAGGAAATAAGAGTTAAAAATTTCACACATTTCCTTATCATTGTCAGTGATCTGACCTGAGTTACTTTTGAGTGGGCCTATCTCGTCCCTAATCTCCGAATCCTTTGCATTTTAGCCTCATAATCTCTTAAAGCTTTTCTTATTCCCTTTTTTCTCTCTGAGTATATTGATTTTTTAACTGCCCCTCTCCTCCTTTGATACGCATATATATGCCTCTCTTTTGACCAATGAGATATTTTAATGTATTGTTTATCCATTTGGGAGCATTTTTGATTGATCTAATTTCCCTACTTGGAACATAAGTTGTCTGGGCAGCTAGAACTACTCTGAAAAACGCCATACTGGCAAACAACACCACCTACCTAACCCAGTCAAGTCATCCCAATTTAGCCCACTCATATAATTTCTCATTCCCATGAAATCGGTCAAGCGGAAGCCTGGGACAGAGACTTGATTGCAGTTATTTGGGTAATTCCATGATATATTGAAAAATTTTTTTTGCATTTGTTTTCCCCGACTCATTATTAACCTTAAGATTATTAATTAATGATTCCTTGTTGGCAGGAGCCAAGTCAAACAGATTGTTTCTTCTGGTTGGTTCTGTCACAAATTGTTTTAAAAAGTAATCCTGAATCGTATCAAGAAAGTCACTAGACTCATATTGTTCCAGTCAGTTTGTCTAAAATTAAAATCTCCCATTAATACGACATTTTCATTTCTAGACATCTTATGAATTTTGTCCCTGTTACAAAACTCGTCTTCTTAACCTTCTCGAATATTATGGTAGAGTGTTAAGGTAGTATATTCTTGTTAAGCAGATGGCCTGTTTACGGTTTCGTAATAATCAATTTTAATAATTAGGGATTACAAAATAAATAATTAAAGCTTAGAATCTTTACTAGTAGAGTT